AACCTTTTCCTACCTCCTTAGGGGAGGAAAAAACCCAACAACAAAACCAAAGAGAAACTTACATGGAAAATGCCGTGGAAGAATTTGTGTGGACTCTTGACACTTTAGAGGCTGATTGATAGCTGGGATTATGAAACCTTGTTGGAGTCATCTGGACAGTTTGGCTAGACTTCAAGTTCTTATTTTCAAGTGTACTTTCTGTCTAGGTGATCTGTCCTCTGCTTGTTTCCTGAAACTGTTCTATATAGCTTTTGGTGGTCCTACAAGAAGCAAGTGGAAGGAGGAGAAAAAAGGCATACTGATGAAGTAGGCCTGGAGTTCTTTTCTGCCAACATCTGATCATAGCAACTGGCTTTCATTTTGAATGTTTATACCCTGTAGGATTAGGTTCAAAAATACTGATGTAATTTCAGGAGATTACCCATTTACCTTCTGATTCAAGAGCTAAGCCCTCTGTATTTGGTGTTGGGTTGGGTTTTTTTCCTCCTGGGTGTACCAATGAAAAAGTTATGTTTTTTCTTCTGCTGTCACACAATTGGTCTTAGAAGGATATGGCAGAAAGGAAATACGGTCTTCATTAGACCACAGAATAATGTGTAAGTGGAATACCTCAGGGATAATATGTAAGTTATTTTCTGTTGTTTAATGCATAAATGATGTTCTCTGTACAAAGCTACACAGATGAATAATTTGGAATGTATTGTGCTTGTATACCTCTTGTTAGAGCACAAACCATTTAAAAAAATGCTTCTGGTATGATAAAGTTATGAGAAGTATGGTGAGGCTTCAAATATTTTAAACTTGATATGGCTATTAAGTCAAAAAGCTCCTGTGTATTCTCTACAGAGAAAAAGAACTGCCATGGAAAATGTAAACCAATGGTACTGATTGGTGAAGTGCGATAAGTTTCTTGCAGGAGATCTTGCACAAGATAAATGTTTTAACCAGATTGAACTTTTTTTTTTTAAGATGAAAATCATATTATTAGGGCAAGATAAACCTTTTAACTGCAATTAAATAAAAGCAATTTTTCCCCCCCTGCCCCCCCCCCCGGAATGTGTTTTTATATAATAAAGCAATGCTGGTAGGGTGATAATGAAGAAAATCTGATTAATAAATTGCCAAAATTCTTTCAAAGCTTACAGTGTTTTATCACTAAAAGAATAGAGTGGGCCCTAACAAAATTGGAGTTCCTCTACTCTTGAGATTAAGGCATGGTAGATGAACTACTTTGCTGAATAAAGAGCTGATCATTGGACTTTGGACCACTGATTTTTATATAGTGCTTTTTAACTATATGACCCTGAAATTAACTGGACAAACCAGTGTGGTCTCTCTAACTTTAGAATTTGTGTACTGCTTGAAGGAAGGCTTTCTTAAACAGTAAGTTGTGTATCATCTGCTTAGATTGTAGGAAGACTTCTTTTCTAGGACCCTTCTTTTCCACTCCTCCTGGCAAATTATTTAAATGAAACACACCTATGAAAACAGTTTCTTAGGAGGCCATGGGTGACAGATTGTCAAAGTTCTGAAAGAATAATGACTTGAAATAGACGGATACTTGCAGAAATTGGAAAGTACGGTATTATGATAGCAGATAGTATTTTTTGACTCATCTAAAATATTTTGCTTCAAAGAATAAGCAATCACTTTTAAGATGGGTAAGGAAGAAAGTTCCCCAGTGGTTATATTTTTTGTTGTGAACTTCCAATTTTTGTAGTATAAGCCAATAAAAATAATGGGAATATTTTAGTGTGTCATGACAATACTTCTGGATCTGACGTGACAGAAAATACTTTCCTTCATCCCAAGTCTGACATCACTGTGGTGTCATGTAGGTTGGATGACCTATAAGGTCACAGTTCTGTTAATAAGTGGGCATAATGTACTGAATTTATCCTGGGTCTCCCCCCACCTCCATTACGGGATTTTGTTGAGGATGGCTACTCATAAATAATGAGCTATGTTTGTTTGAATTAACTGGTCTATTGCAAGCCGGTGACTGCCTCCATTCTTCCATACCTAGCTATTACAGGCAGAGGAAAGGCATTGGAGGGTTTTGTGCCTGTGTGTGGTGAAGACCTAAAATCTGAAGGTGGTAAAAAATGAGGTAGTATTACAATCATGTTCTGCTTCCTTTTAGATTAAACAACTTCTGTTTAATGCTGTTTGGCAAAATAAATTTGAGTTCCTCAAGTCTCTGATTTTATTCAGTGTAGATTAGAATTAGAATTTTTGAGTGAATTCTGATTAAGGCTTAAAGATGTATTTCAGTAGCTTGCAGTAGAGTAAAAAGTTTATGTTGGTTCTGTTGTGTGTCTTCCCCCCCCCCCCCCCCCTTTTTTTTTTCTTACAAGAGTGGTGATGCATTTGCTTGCTAGGTCACAGATGATGGCATTAATTGGGTTATGCATTAGCAGTTAATTTTCTCTATATACATAGCTCTAAAAACATATACATAGCACGCTCTTCTTTTTTTGCATTACTTTAAAAAAACAACGCAAATTTCACTTGATTCTCAAATTTGGTAACCACATCTTTCTGTGTTGACAATGAAGGTTGCTTAAATATATAATGATTGGGTAACCTCAGTTGTTTTATGTAAGTTTGCAGATATCACAGCCCATGAGGCAGCTAAGGCAGGTTCTTCACTTTCATCAGTCTCCCAGGCATTTTTACCTACATTAATTTCCAGTTGTTATGCTACCTGGTCACAAGTGTTTAAAGAAAACTCAATTAAGAAAAAACACACTACCACCAAAAGCAATTTTAAGCGCAAGAAACGTCTAAGTGGGGATCTTGATCCCAGGCGTCCAGTATGTGTTTTAGACATACTTTGAAACACACTAAAACTGTTTTTTAGAATTATCTAACAACAAGCATAAAATGAAATCTCTATGATGCTAATGATATCTTAGCATAGGTGAAACTGCGGTTGGTAGCGGAGCAACCCTTGATTTGTGATAGCCGATTTACCTGGACTAAAAAATAATTGGTTTCCTTTCAATTATTGGGTAGGAATTAATAGATTTTTTTTATTTTTTTTTACTTTTTTGGAAGAAGAGAACTAAATGGTAAGCTGATGTTTCCTTCAAGTTATAGATGAGGCCATTCAAGGTTCTACCCTATGAGTGGAGTAAACTATGGTGGCAGAATGAGTGCTCACTTAAACTGTAAGAGGGATTTGGGGTTTCTTTTATGCCTGCTACTAAAAATATTCTATACCTAGTTTTGGTTTAACAGGTTCTTCTTGCTGCTTATTCTTGAAAATAGTATGTTGTTTCCTTAATTGTATGCATAGGTAGTGATATAGTTTGACATTTGTGGTATTTGATAAGAAAATGCTCAGTGTTTAAATGAGGAAAGCACGATACCCCAGCAGCTAGTTGGCCTGATTGCTTTCCAGTTCATTGTATTTGGTGTCTCATGCAATGGGACAAAAAAACAACTTGTGCTATGTAGGGGAAGAATGAACTGTAGAAGTTTTAGGCACTTAAGAGCGTGCTGAGATGTTTGATGTTAATTGCCAGACTTCAATAGTGAGATAAAAATTTAAGAAGTTAGATGAAGACTTGGTGCCAGCTCATACCTTAGAGATGCCCTGTACATGCCACATCATCATCCTGAAGATAACGACTCTATCAATAAAAGGAGCAAATTTGGATTTAAATCCACAGTGCTTTTCTAAAGTCCTTTTCATAAGTACCGTGTTTTTCACTGGAAGCTTGTTAAGTTTTTTTCTTGGTAAGGATGAGTGTTAAAATAGCTTGATCTCAAAACTGTTGAGCTTCTGTAGACTTAAACTGAGATACTACACTTTGTTAGATGGAGGGAGTGTATTTATTAGGCACTGGTTTGTGCATCATTGCGAAGTGGTCTGTGTTCTTGCAATTTTGACATTTTGGAAGGAGTTTGCAATTAATTATTCACTATGCAGGTATTGAAGATGAGAGTACTTTGCTTTAATTACCTAGTCAGTTGTGGAAAACTTTGTATTAGGCTAAATGCATTAGTTTACTAATCTGTGAATGGAGACAGCTGAGGAACTATGTATGTTTCCTCTCCTATACTTGATTGGGTGTTCTGCCCTACTCAGTAGGAGTGGGAAACTAATAATACCTGGCATATAGGTGGGATTGTTGAATTGGCTTGTGCTAGTCAAGAAGATTGTTGCTTTGGTCTATGGTTAAAAATACTACTACTGATTCTTTTTAGCTTGCTAGTTAAAAAAAAAAAACACTTCTAAAAGTGGTACCCTGTGAGTATAGTATCTTCTAATAGTGATCTATTAAAATGAGATAGAAATTGTTTCATATCCTTATTGTGAATCATTAGAATGATTTTTGATTTAAAAAAATACAGAATGGAAGTTACAGCATTGTTTCTTTTGAGATCCTTAGTTTGTATTGTGGACATTGAAAATTGTTTTTTTTTTTTTTAAAGTGAAAAAGTTAACAGTGCTCTCTAACAAATACTTGAAAAATTCTGTAACGAGGTTTCTATTGAAAGTTACAACAACTGGGCTCTGACATTATAGAGCGGTAAGCAAACATACATGATATTCAGTAAGTCTGCCATAAAGTGAATCTTTGTCACCTCGGTGAATGTGAGGAATGTTGTTTTTAATCACCAATTGAAATGATAATATTTCTGTCAGTTTCTAATATTTTTAAGTTCAGGCCTTAAGATCATCACACTCTTAAAATAAGTGTATTTGAAGTTAACAACTATTAAAGAAGATTGAATGTTTTCCTTTTGCTTGTGTAAAATAAAAATAAATCATTGTGACAGATAAAAGTGATGTTTTTCCTTAATAGTAAAATTGCCTAGTTTTAAAATGAACTGACTCAGTCTCCTGGGTTTTGTTTGTTTGTTTGTTTTAACAGGGTTTGTGGATGCACTTAGATGTTTGCAATGAGCACTGTGGCTGGCATGCCCCAGTGTTTTGGATACCAATGCATAGGACTCCGTAGTAATCGAATTTATCAGAAACGAACGTCATGAGCATAGTGATCCCGTTGGGGGTTGACACAGCAGATACTTCTTATTTGGAAATGGCTGCAGGCTCAGAGTAAGTATGTGAACGTGATATGTAAGTTCTCTTATCTTTTTAAATTTTTTTCTCTAGTGAGTATTTTTTTTAATATAGTTGGAGAGGACATAGGAGTCTCCTTAGTTTTAGTGAATTGTTAATTACTTAAATTAATAACTGTCACTTTATTCTTAAGTCGGTTTCTTTAGGGAGAGCAAAGGAGATACTAAACTGTTCTGTGGATGCGTATTTTTCTTGCTGATCAGACTGAGAAATACAGATGCTGCCTGGTTTGCTTTTCATGCTTAAAATATTTTATTATACCATTGCAGTTTGCTTCAAATATTTTTGGTTTCCCAGGTTAGATAGGTAAATTCATTTGGTGTGGGAAATTGCAGGAAAATGGTAGTAATTAGACAAGGGTGCCTTTATTTCTGAAAGTTGAAGGCCTAGCTTAATTGTCTAATACCATGTCTTCACAAAGTTATTTTATATTTAAAAGCTAGTAGAAATTCACTTGTTAATCATTCATTTCAGTTATTTCCTGATTTCAAGAAACTCCTCCTTTGCATGAAATAAGCATAGTGAATTCCTGGGTTTTGTGTGGTTTTGGTTGGTTGGGTTGTGGGTTGTGTTGTGTGTTTTTTCCTGAGGGGGAGGGGTGGGGTGTTTCAGGGTTTTTTGTTGGTTTGGTGGGGGGTTTTGTGTGTTGTGGGGGGTTTTGTGTGTTTTGGGGGGGGTGTGTGTGTTTTTGGTTTTTTGTGGGTTTTTTCTGTTGTGGCATCTGAATCTGTAGAGTATTGATAGGCTAGACTTTAGGTATTGTTGATCTCCAGCTGGAGGTTTTTCCTGTCAAACATCTTTCCGTGTGTATACTGTCAACCTGGCTGTCTAATGTTCTGAGAGGAGAAATAGTGTTTTGGACAACTTGGCTCTTTGAGAGGTAAAAGACCAAGGTGGTGTTACAACTTTTACCAGTGTACATAGGTACATGATCCCATTGAGCTCTGTATATTTCAGAATAGTACTTGGATTTTTTTTTTCTTTCTGTTTTCTGTGTTGCTTTTGCCACAGAATACAACAGGTGAGTTTTTGAGGAAAAGATGGGTGTCAATACTAAAGGTGATGTTAAAGGTCAAGAGAGTTTTTGTAAGCCACAATGAATCTTGTATATTTCCTTGGATATACATAGCGGGGGGGGGGGGGGGGGGGGGGGGC